AGTCTCCCCACTTCTTTCCACAAGTAAGCCATCACCAGCCCCTGCTGATTCCACCTACAAACAGACTTCTGATCTGTTTACTCCTTATCTGCAGCAGCCATTTAGTTCAGGCCTCTGTGACCTCTCTCCTGCAGGCCTCTTTTCCTTTATTTATAAACCATCTAGATTAGCTATCTATTGCTGTATAACAAATGACCATGAACAGCAGCTCCAAGCAGTCCATATTTGTTATCTCAATTTCTGTGGGTCAGACATCTATTGCTGCCTTGCTCGGTGCTCAAGACTTCTGAGGAAACTATAATCAAGGTGTTGGTCAGGGTTTCCCACTCCTCCTACTGGGGTAATATCCACTTCCAAGCTCATGAACATAGCTATTTGGCAGATGGCAGGTCCTCACAGGCCGCTGACCAAAAACATCAGCTCTTTACCACCTGGGCTCCTCTGTGAGGCAGCTCACCACATGGCAGCTGCCTTCACTGAGAGAAGTTAAGCAAGAGAATGAGCCCAAAAGGGAAACCACAATATTTAGAAGTGATTAACTTTGGAAATGATATTCCATCACACTGCAGTCTTACCAGTGACTCACTGGCTCCCGTTCATGCTCAAGGGGTGGAGAGTATGAAAAGCACGAAGAAAGAATCACCAGGAGCCATTGTAGAGGCCACCTACACTCTGTTCTTTTGGAGTGAGTGATCTGTGTCCTCTTCACAGACAAAGCACACTCTCACCCTCTGAAGGTCCTCAAAAGCTTCATCCTATCATAGTACCAGCTAGAAGTCCAGAATTTCAACACCAACTCAAGTCTAGATGGAACCTCATTAAGTACAGTTCCTTAAATACATTTTTACCAGGACAATTAAGATTTGTCTTGTGAAAATAAGATTACAAATTATTTGCCCCCTACACATTCAACATATAACAGGCCTGGGGTGATATGATGGTTAATCTTGTGTCAGCTTGACTGGGGAAGAAGAGATCAGCTAGTAAAACATTATTTCTGGGTGTATCTGTGAAAGTGTTTTCTGAGTAATTTCTGGGTAAAAATTACCCTCACCAATGAAGGTGGGCAACATCCAATCCACTGAAGGCCCTGATAGAACAAAAAAGTGGAAGGGTGAATTTGCTCCTTTCTTGACCTGGGACATCCATCTTCTCCTGCCCTTGGATATTGGCACTCCTGGTTCTCAGGCCTTCAGACTCTGGGACTTTGACTAGCATCTTTTCTCGCACTCCAGTGTGCAGACGGCATTGTCTTAGGAATTCTTACCTTAATAATTGCACAAGCCAATCCCCATAATAAATCTGTTCTTATCTATTGATCTATCTATAGGCTACACCAATAGCCAGCTGGTTCTGTTTCTCTGATACAGGCAACAGCTACAGATATTCTTATTCAAAAAGAGGTACAAAGGAGTCGCTGGTCCATAGTGATTCTGGAATCCAATTGGACAAATGTTGGAAGTTCCATGATTAGTTCTCAAGATCTAAGAAAAATAGTTCCTGGCTCCACTCTCTGAGTGATACTTTTTTCATTAAAAAAGCACATTTGGCCTAGTGCAGTGGCACATGCCTATGATCCTAGCTGCTTGAGAGGCTGTGACAAGAGGATAGCAAATCAGAGGCCAGAGTGAGCAACACAGCAAGAACCTGTCTCAAGACAAAAAAGAAAAAGGGTGAGGGGCTGGGGTTGTGGCTCAGTGGTAGAGCGCTTGCTTGCCTAGCATGTGTGAGGCAGTGGGTTCGATTCTCAGCCTCATGTAAATTAATAAAATAAAGGTCTATTGACAACTAAAAAATATTAAAAAAAAAAAAAAAGAAAAAGGGATGAGGGTGTAGCTCAGTGGTAGCATGCCCCTGGTTCAGTCCCCAGTATAGGAAGTATGGGTGGGATGGGGAACCACATTTGCAGTTTAGTTCTTAGCTTGCTTCCTGACAGTAGAATTATAATTTCTACTTATCTATACTGTCGATCCCTCAGTCAAGAGTCCAAACATAATTTTCAAATACATTCTGAATTCCCAGCAATCTTCTTGGGATTTATTGCATTATACAAAAGGCACATCCACAAACCTCCCTGTAATAAGTTCTTCTCTAACTTGAAGTCCTGCTGAGATTTGAGGGACAGTGACATTAAGAGGCCTTATTATTTGAAATCTATGAGACATACCATGAATACTTCAGTGGTACTTTTCATGACTAGTTTTCTGAGGCACCTCTTTTGATCTTTCTGATGTCTTAACAAAATATCATACAGTGGCATCTTCTACTTTAGCTTCAGACCAGATGGTAACATGAATGTGTCTCTCTCCCCAACCTTCACCAAATGCATGTTGAAGCTCTAATCTCCAATGTGATGATATTTAGGGGTGGGACCTCTTGATAGGTAATTGGGTTTATATGAAGTCATGAGGGTGGGTCCCAGTGATGGGATTAGAGCCCTTGTAAGAAAGTAAGAGAATGCAGAGGTCTCTGTGAGGACACAGTGAGAAGGTAGCTATCTATCTGCAAGCCAGGAAGTGGGTCCTCACCAGGAACCAAATCTATTGGGACCTTGTTCTTGAACTTCCCAGTCTCCAGACCTATAATAAATGTCTGTTGTGTTAGCCACCCAGTCTATGGTATTTTGTTTCAGCAACCTGAGCTAAGCAAGAGAGACCCATTTTATGTGCAACGCTGATTTTGATCTTTGCTGAAGATCAAAAACTATCAAGTCCCAGTTTTTTGTTGTGAAATGATCCTCACAAATTATCTTTTCACATTTTATTATAAGCAGAAGAAACCACACAGTGATTTTTCCTCCAGTTTGCAAAAACATCTTACTTACTGGCAGTATCCTTATTTTTTACCAGATTTGTCCAAAAGAATTCAGGTTTTCTCTAATATAGTCCTCAAAAACCTGTCCAGTCTCTGTCTACCACCTGGTTCCAAAACTTCCATATTTCAGGGGGTTGTTATGATATTACCATTTCTAGGTACCAAATTATATATTGCATGGCAAGTTACCCCCAAATTTAAACTGTAAAACAACTTTGTTGTTGCTGAGGATTGAACCTTGGGCCTTGCACGTGCCAGCAAGCACTTGCCACTTAGCTATATCCCCAACCCTGAAATGACCATTTTTAATCTGTTTCTGTGGGTGAGGGGGAAACTGGGCAGGGCTTAGCTAGATCTTCTGGCTCAGGGTCTCCCATTTGGCCACAATCCCCAAAGGCTCAACTGAGGCAGGGTCCTTTCTAAGCTCACTCACCTGGCTAGTGGGCAGGCCACTGGTTCTCTGGCAGCTGGTGGGCCCTTCCACAGGGCAACACTGGTAGACTGAAAATATTGTCCCTAAATTCATGTCTACCCAGAAACTCAGAATATGATTCTATTTGTAAACTGGGTATTTCCAGCTGTGATTAATTTGACATCATACTTAACTAAGGTGGGCCTTAAATCCAATGACTGGTATCCTTATAAAAAGAGACATAGAGGGGCTGGGGATGTGGCTCAAGCGGTAGCGCGCTCGCCTGGCATGCGTGCGGCCCGGGTTCGATCCTCAGCACCACATACAAACAAAGATGTTGTGTCTGCCAAAAAAACTAAAAAATAAATATCAAAAATTCTCTCTCTCTCTCTCTCTCATCTCTCTCTTTAAAAAAAAAAGAGACATAGAGAGAAAAACAAAGAATACCAAGTAGAGAGAGAGACAGAGATTGCAGCAACAAGCCAGAGAATGCCAAAGATTGCCTGGAGTCACCAGAGGGAAGAAGTCTTCCTTAAAGGGAGCATGGCTCTGTCAACACCTCAATTTTAGACTTCTAGCTTCTAAAACAGTGCTGTTTTAAGGCACCACTTTGTGATAATTTGTCATAGCAGCCTTAGGAAACTACTAATGCAGCTCACAGATTGGGTGAGATGGTGCATACCTGTAATCTCAGAGACCCAGGAGGCTGACACAAGAGGATCACAAGTTTGAAGCCAGCCTTAGCAACTTAGCAAGAGCCTGTCATAAAATAAATAAAAAAGGGCTATTGGTGTAGCTCAGTGATAGAGTACCCCAGGGTCCACTCTCCAGTACAAAACAAAACTGTAGTGCATAGGTGAGCTGGGTTCCCTCAGAGCAAATAAGAAAGAAAGAAAGAAAACACCGAAGACAAAAGATAGAAGCCATAGTCTTCCTGTAAACTAATCTTGGACATGATACCTAAGCACTAAAAGCAAGCCACTAGAACCAGTCCACATGCATGATGAGGAAATTACACCAGGAAATGAATATCACGGGAGGGTATTGGCTGCCTACCAGTCACCTAACAAGAAAAAAGTGAATGAACTTCAGTGAAAGAAAACCTCTCCTTCCTTTGGGCTCTGCCTTCTCCATTCACTGAGTACTTAAACAAATATTAAGTACCTGCAATGGGCTGGGTGTTGGAGATATGACAAATAAGACAGATAAGATTCTTTCCCTGTTGATATTATTCACAATCTAGTGGAAGAGAAGGTCACTAAACATTAAAAAACAAATATATCAATAAAAATTGTGATAAGCACAAGGAAATAAGTTATGAGATTAAAATAGAAACATCTGATTTATACTGGGAAAGAAAGGTAAAGGCTAGGTATGTCTGGAAAAAAAATCAGTATTCAGAATGAGGCTGAAGAAAGTAGAAATTGGGCTGTGTGTTTTGGCAGAGAAAAGTGGAGTTTCTAGTAGAGGAAAAGCAGGTGCAAATAAATCAGTAAGTTGCGCAGCTAGATTAAGCTCTGCTTGAGGGTTTATATTCACCTTATGTATTAATTATGTAGCACAGTGCCTGGCACAGGCAGGAATCTGAAAATTCCTTCTGGAATGAGCGAGTGAATCAAGGCCACCTTCTATTTCCTGTTATGAATAATGTCAATTGAAGTCACTTAGAAATTTTCTCCTAAAGTTCACTGTTCTTATTCACATTAGGCAGGATAGGCAAAGCTGCTATAACAAAAAGAGTCGAATTAAATAAAAACCTCAACACCACAGAAGATTATTATTATTAGTTTTTTTTTTTCCTTTGAAAATAACAGTTCTGAGTGGACATGCAGGTTGGCGAGATAGGTTCTCCACTCAGGAATCTTCAGTCTTGAGGAGTTTTGTCTTTTCCAGAATCTGGTGGTTATTTGCTTCCAGCTGGCAGAGAAAGAGGCTAGAGGAGCACCTGTTGAAGGTTGTTATGAGCCAGGCCTGGAACATGTGCACACCTCTTCTATTCACTTTTCATTGGAAGCACACAGGCACAGGTCTACACTTATCATGAGGGCTGAGGAATACAGTGTAGGTGGATGGTCAACAAAGAGAACAATAATTTAGATGGACAACTCTTCTACACACAATATTCAATTACTTATTTGATTTATCCTCTGGTATAACTCACAAGAACTTCAAATTAACCTAGAAAGTAAAGAACTCTGGATTGCTCACCCTCACCCCCATCAAGTCTTTCAGGAAACCTCATGATCCATCCATCCATCCATCATTAAGCCAAGTACATGGAAATTACCCTTAACTCATTTCTTTTCCTCACCTTCCCCATCTAATTTTTCTGGAAATCCTGTCAATACTATCTCCAAAATATATCTTAAATCTACCTTCTCTCTCCAACTTAACTGCCACCACCTTCTTCAAACATCATAAAGACCTCTCATTTGGATTATTCCAACAGCCTATAGCTCTTTATGCTTCCAACTTAACTGCCAAAATTCTATTCTCTATATGGCTCAGAGATATTTTAAAACATAAGTCTGATCACATTAATCTCTAGTTTAAAACTTTCCAGTGATTTAGAATAAAATCCAAAATAAAATCCTAATGCAAAGCAGCCCCTGCCCACCTCTTTACCATCATCCTTCATCACTCTCCTTTTACTGGCTCTACTCCAGCTACAATGTTGTTCTTGTAAAACCAGTTAAGGCCTGAACACATCTGGGCATGAATTCCTTAAATAACCTAGTGCCTGTCTTTCAGGAAAACCCTCCAGAATGCACTCAAGGACTCCTTGAAACTGGCTTTTCAAGAATGGACACAAGCTGGGTGTGGTGGAACATGCCCATAATCCTGAGGCTGAGGCAGGAGGATGGTGAAGTTAAAAACCCACCTCAGCAAAAGCGACCCTGTCTCTAAATAAAATAAAATAAGATACAAAATAGGGCTGGGGATGTGGCTCATGGCCGAGTACCCTTGAGTTCAATCCCCAGTATAAAAAACAACAACAACCAAAAAACAGATACAGGGGGGCACTTCTGTAACCCCACTGACACAGGAGCCTGAGGCAGGATGATTGCAAGTTCAAAGCCAGCCTCAGCAACTTAGCAATACCATTTCAAAATTTAAAAAAACTTTAAAAAGGGCTGGGGATCTGGTTCAGTGGTTAAGCAATCCTGGGTTCAATCCCTGGTACCCTCTTCTCCCCTCCAAAAAATGGACACAAACAGAAGAAGCCAGGCAGCATATTTGGTCAAAACCCCCATCTGGAATGTGGAACTACCCCTGAAAACAAACATGCCACGTATGAAGAAGTATATTAACTATTTAGCTTGAGCAAAAGAACCCCCAAATTCCTCCCTCTCCTCATCCAATCAGTAAATAGCTTGCCCCCTCTCCCTTTCTATAAATTCCAGGTACCAAAATGCTGGGAAGATATAGGAGCTTATAGCTCCTGGCCTCCTGTTGGTTGACCATACACAAAAAAGTCTTTTTGCAAAAAATTGGTGTCACTCTTGGCTTCTATGCCGGTCAAGCAGTGATCAGCATACTTGCTGCTCTTTAAACACCTTTAACTTATTTCCACTTAAAGACTTTTGCATTTGCTGTTCCTTCTGCCCCCAAATCTCTTTCACGGATTTCCAAAGGCGAACTCTTTCTCCTTTCCTCAGAGGTATCGGTTTCAATGTTACCTCCTGAGAGACCTGGCCTGATCATATAATAAGTAGTAGTCCCCCCAACCGGTTGTTCTTACCTCGGCATCCTTTTCATTTTCTTCTTAACACCACACTGTATTATTCCGTTTATTGTCTCCTTACTTCTCCAGAAAGGTCCATGCGCAGGTGCCATGCCATGTTCTCGTTTCTCTAGGGCCTGGGAAGCCCGGCGCAGTGGTGCTCAGTAAATAAAGTGAGCAAATAAAGAACAATCAACAGGTAATGAGCTAAAGCTCCTGTAAGATCGTTCGACAGGTTCCTGGTATAAAGACCACAAACCTAGGTTCCAATTCTGTCTCGACCACTTCTCCGCCGTGCGCAAGAGAGTCGGCCCTGGGTCTCAGATACCATATCTGTAAATGGGGCATAAGAACAGACTTACCTCACAACACAAAAAGATAAAAGGAGGCAATGGGAGAAAAGAGATTGAAGGAAGCTTAACGTTCCGTAAATGGAGCAATTGCTGCCCTTATATAGGACGCACAATTCCTTCCTTTGCATCAACTGAGACCCTTCCAGGCCTCAGTTCCCTCCTTGTCATGAGCTGCCACTCTTTGCACAGGTTGTTTCTGGAAGTAGGAGATGGAAGGATAGCCCCGACACTTTCGCAGACACTGCCTTCCAGCCACAGCCTTCACAGGCCCAGTCCGGTCGGGCCGCCTCCTGCGTCATTAGCGCGGCGCCGGCGCAGCGGAAGGCCCCGGGACCTGTCTAGTGAGCGGCGCGTCTTGAGGAGGCCAGGCGAGTGCCTGCATGTCACCCGCGCGGGTCGGGGGTGGCTCGGAAACCCCAGCGGACGGCTGCGAGGGGCGCGTGGAGTCCTGGGGTCACGGAGCCCGGCGGCCAGAGGGGCGACCCGGAGCACCTGCTGGGCACAGCGCCGGCGGGCAGCCGGCGGGGCTGCCCGGCGCGGGTGTCCCGGCGATGTGTGGCGCTGAGGCGGCGGCGGGAGCAGTGGCGGCGGCGGCGGCCTCGGCTTCGGGTCGGTGCCGGCGGCGGAGGCGGAGGCGCAGGCTCCTGTTCAGGACCTGGCGAGCCCGGGCCTAAGCCGCGTCCCCGCGAAGCCCTTGCACAGAGCCTCGGGCCGAGGCCTTCCTCGCCTCACCCTGCCCCGGGAGCCCGCTTCCCCGGCCGGGGATGAGGCCGGGAGGCGACCGCGCGGGGCCCAGCACAAAGGTTTGTCTCCAGGGACCGCCGCCTCCGCCGCTGCCGCCGCCGGCCTAGAGCCGCCCGCCGAAGCCGAACCGGCGCCGGGCCCCTCATCCCCGCCGGTCCCCACTGGCGGCTGCTGCCCGACTCCCCGAGGCCCAGGGTCGCGAGCTCCCAGCCCTTTGCTCCCTCCGCTGCTAGGGGACCCGGCAGCTGCGCAGCCTCCACCGCTCTTGGCTGCGGGGGCCCTGCGAACCATGTCGGAAGAGAACGACATGGAGAAAGCCATCAAGGTAAACCGGGGCTGCCACCTCGCTTCTTCACTGTGGTTTTCTCGACTCCAGCCTCAGAAGGTGGAGAGAGTTCGGAGTGAGAGGTTTCTTGGAGCACGTTTGACAGCCCTGGGGCAAAGTGTGTGTGTGCCTGTGTGTGTCTAAGTGTGTGTGTGTGTGTGTGTGTGTGCGCGCGCGCGCGCGCGCGCACGCGTGTAGGGCAGGATGCCCGACTCCTTCCAGTTTCCCTGGTTAATGAGATTGCTCTCGGCTAGACTGAAGTTGAGTGGCGTGGAGGGCCTGCATTTCCATCCCTCCCAGATGGCTCCAGCATTTGCTTCCAAGTGGTCTGCTGCAACAACAGCTGGAGAGCTGCCTTTTACCCACCCCTCCTGATGCTGTTGACAGAAGTCGGCCTCTTGGAAATCTGCAGTTTCAGAAGAAAGTAGTTTGCCTTACTACAGAACCTGCCCTTTGGGGGAATAGTTTGTTCTTTTCCGTGCTTTCTCCTCCCCTTATTTTTTTCTTCCCTAGGGAGCACTGAAATTATTTAGGAAGAGCTATTAGTGTGTCTTAGGTCATAGTGCTCTGTTATCCAAGAGAAAAGCACATAACTGTAAGTGTGTTCTAAAATGACCCAAATAAAATGATAAAGTTTTCTGAACCTACTTTTTTATTTTTTATTTTTTTCCTTCACTTTTAACAGGCAAACTTTCCACACTAAAGGCCGGTCATCTGTCTTGTCAACTGTAGCAGGAAATTAGTTATGTAAACTGAACACTGAAGCTTAACGTTTGATGTATTACTTATTTTACAATGTTAAGCCAGCCCAGTGTATTGAAGAATTTCATTTCCCTTGAGGGAAAAGCATCTCTTCCTAGATTTGGGATTTTTTTTTCCCTCTTCAAGATACTTTATACAGTTACTGTTACCAACAACTCTTTTTTTTTTGGTACTGAAGATTGAACCCAGGGACACTTAACCAATGAGCCACATACCCAAGGTCTGCTAAGTTGCTTCTGGTTTTGTTATGTTACTGAGGCTAGTTTTGAATTCACCATCCTCCTGCCTGAGCTGCTAGGTTTACAGGCGTTTAACTCTGTGTCCAGCTCCATCAACTGTTGTTGATGGACATTTATCTTATTTATGTATATGTGGTGCTGAGAATCAAACCCAGTGCCTCACACATGTGAGGCAAGCACTTTACCACCAAGCCACAACCCCAGCCTTGAGATGTTTTTATAGAATTCATCTATCATTCCAAAGAAACTTAATATTTTAAAGGAGGTATCAATTAGAAACGCATACATTAAGGAAGATCAAATTTTAAATAATAAATGTGTACGAAAAGACTGCTCTGAGCTGGCGCTGTGGCGCACGCCTGTAATCCCAGTGGCTCTGGAGGCTGAGGCAGAAGGATCTCAAGTTTAAGGCCAGCCTCAGCAAAAGCAAGGCATTAAGCAACTCAGTGAGACACTATCTCTAAATAAAAAACCAGGACTCAGGATGTGGCTCAAGTGGTAGCATGCTCACCTGGCATGCGTGAGGCACGGGTTCGATCCTTAGCACCACATAAAAATAAAGATATTGTGTCCACCTAAAATTAAAAAAAAAACAAAAAGGGCTTGGGGATGTGGCTCAATGGCCAAGTGTCCCTGAGTTCAATCTCTGGTACCCCCAAAGAAAAAAAGCCTGCAGACTCATTTTTTTTTCTTTTGGTTCAGATTTTATTGTTATGATTTGCTGCCTGAAGTTATATATTTGGGTCGTGCACCACAACATATATGGTGGATTTTTACATTCAACAAGTATTTGCTTTTGTGTCAGGTGCAGGCACAAGTAGTATGAGCCAGATTCTTAGCTGTCCCTGCTCTCCTGGAGCTTATGTTGTAGATGGTGTATTTAGGTAATAAACGTTGCCAGGTATTTATAATTAAGAAATATAGAAAGGGTGAGTAGTACTATTTTGACTGGTCAGGAAAGGTGTTTCTGAGAAGGTAATACTTGTTCATACTCTGAAGGAAATGAGAGAGCAAGCCACCATTGTCTCAAGGAAGACTATTACAAGCAGTAGGAATAGCAAGTACAAAGGTCCTAAAGTAGAAGCAGCCAGTGTGATGTAGGAAGAGCAGGGTACTGGGATTCAGTGGGTCAGTGTAGGTGATATTAGAGAAAAGTAATGGGAAGCAGAACATTTAGGGCCTTGCAGGCCATTAGGAGGGGAGCTTTGGGAGAGTTTTGAGCAGAAAAGGGTCATAGTTTTAGTGGACAGTTATATAATTGGGGTGGCAATGTTAATGGTTGTTAATAGTTTCTCAGGTTAGAATCAGGAGTTAAAATCCCAGTCTTGCCACTTATTAGCTGTATATCCTTATGTCAGTCACTTCACTTCTCTGTCCCTTAGTTTCTTTTCTATAGAAAGGAGATAAAAGCACTCCCCAGCTCACAGAAATATTTGGAGGATTAAATGGGCAGTTATACCTAAATGAGCTTATAGAAATAATTAAGAGGGAGAGCTCGATGAATATTAGCTCATAGAAATTGAAGTGTAGTTGTAGTTTTCTTGTTGACTATTGCCCCTTTTGTCAGTCTTCCTATTAATCTGGACTTGTCAAACCAACACAATTTTGTTTGACAACCAGTGGTGACTAGGATGTAATCCTTGGGAAGCAAGCCAACAGAACATCAAATCAGAGCTTTTGGGTCTGTTGCATTGTTTTGAATTTATTTTGCTTTTTGGAGGCAATCTCATCAAATAGTGAGCACTGAGACCGGTGTAGTTCAGCTGGCAAAGCTTTTTTTCCTGGATTCTAACTGTTGCACTTGAACTTCTGTTGCCTGCCAGAGAGTGGACTAATTGGGCTTTAAGATTTCATCCTATTACTCTTTTTAATATTTTTAGATGGACACAATATTTTTATTTCATTTGTTTGTTTATTTATTTATTTAGTTAGTTTTCAGTGGACACAACATCTTTATTTTTATTTTTATGTGGTGCTGAGGATCGAACCCAGCGCCTCGCGCATGCCAGGCAAGCGCGTTACCGCTTGAACCACATCCCCAGCCCTCACTTGTTTATTTTTATGTGGTGCTGAGAATTGAACCCAGTGCCTCACACATGCTAGGAAGCACTCTACCCCTGACCCATAATCCCAGACCCATTATCCTATTACTCTTAAAATGTTAGACCAATACCAAGTTCTTACATCTGAGGGCTCTGTTATCCCACCTTTGTTATTATTCCCATAGCTCTATGACTTCACTCCTTCTAAGACATTTAGCTACACCTCAGAAAGAGAATCTTTGGATTACAGATTCTTACATATTACCTACTATTGTATATAGTGAATTGCTAATATGTGATGAACTTAGTGAAAATTCATTTCCTTGGTTTAAAAAATATTTTGAAAAGCTATATAATTTGCATATTGTAAAATTCCAATGACAGTGTATTCATTCCTTCTTAGAAAATTTAGAGAGTTCTTGAGCCATATCAGAATTCAGTTTAGAACATTTCCACCTCACTTCTAGGAAGTTCCTTCTGCCTGTCTGTAGTCAGTCCTTGCTCCTCTTTCTCATCCCAGACAATCACTAGTGTGCTTTGTAGGCTGAGACAGGAGAATGGTGAATTCAAAGCCAGCCTCAGCAACTTAGTGAGACCCTAAGCAACTCAGAGAGACCCTGTCTCTAAATAAAATACAAAATAGGACTGGGGATGTGTCTCAGTGACCCAGTGCCCCAGAGTTCAATCCCTCGTACCCCCCCCCCCATAAATAAATAAAACTCATGTTACTGTAGTTTGCTGTCTTTAGAAATTCTAAATTAATAAAACTTTACAATATGTAATCCTTATGTGTTTGGCTTCTTAGCTGAACACTTTTGAGGTTTGTCTCTGTTAGCACATATTTTAGTATTTCATTCCTTCCTCTTGTTGAGTAGCAGCCTTTTTATTAGTCCTTTTTAAAATTGTTTTTCTTAGTTGTAGATGGACATAGTATCTTTATTTTATTTATTTTTATGTGGTGCTGGGGATTGAACCCAGTTCCTCATGCATGCAAGGCAAGTGCTCTACCACTGAGCTACAACCCCAGCCCTATTAGTCTTTTTTATCCATTCCCAGTTCATGGACATTTAGAGTGCTTCAGTTTTTAGCTGTTAGTAATGAAATGATAAAACTGTACACATTTTTATGTGATCATATGTTTTAATTTCTTTTGGTTTGTCACCTTGGTAT